CAGCAGGATGCAGCCTATTACACTCAGCACAGTATCTGGCACTCTTAGGTTCCCGGTCCATTTCAAACCTCCTGCAACCCAACAGAAGGGCAATTCCTTAATAATTTGTCAAGCCTGTGACATTTCTGTAGTCTCATTATTACGTGTTATTACATATACCTATGCACACCCTTCTCTCAATCTTCTATCTTAAAGGTAAAAAATGTTTCTTTTTTTAAAAAATATACTTTTACTGATTTCAGAGAGGAAGGGAGAGGGAGAGAGAGATAGAAACATCACTGATGAGAAAGAATCTTTAATTGGCTGCCTCCTGCACGCCCCATACAGGATCAAGCCCGCAACCCAGGCATGTGCCCTGACCAGGAATCGAACCATGACCTCCTGGTTCATAGGTCAATGCTCAAGCACTGAGCCACACCCACTGGACTGTCTTTTTTTTTTTTCTTACTAATTAGAATCCCCAATCTCTTTACAATATGACAGCAGTGGAAACCCAAGAGTTCTTTTATTCACCATTTCTATCCCACAACTCCAATAATATGAAGGTCTTTGGCTACCTAACGTCTAAGCCAGTGATGGTGAACCTATGACACGTGTGTCAGAGGTGACACACGAACTCATTTTTTTGGTTGATTTGTCTTTGTTAAATGGCATTTAAGTATATAAAATAAATATCAAAAATATAAGTCTTTGTTTTACTATGGTTGCAAATATCAAAAAATTTCTATATGTGATATGGCACCAGAGTTAAGTTAGGGTTTTTCAAAATGCTGACACGCCGAGCTCAAAAGGTTCGCCATCACTGCCCTAAACTGTGGCTGTTACATTCCTATTTCATACCTGTGCTTTCCCTGGCATCGACTGCACATCATAGTATTCATTGCCTCTTTGAGGTCATCCTGCAGCTTGGACAGAAACTCATTCACTGACCGGCTCAGCTCATTCTCTGCCATTCGTTTCCTAAGAGAAGAAAGGCTTTATAAATCAGAGGGTATTGAACAAGGAATAAAAGGAGACAGATCTGTTGGCCTCTTAAAGGCCTTTTGCCTACTAGACAGACAAGCAATTTTCTCCACCTGAGAGGGCATTCACCGGCAACTCTAGGGGCCTCTGCTATTGAAGATTATTCATTTACGCCACCTGACAATTTCCTATCTCCAACTTACATCTCATATTCCTTTCGCCTTTCAGGATTGCTGACAATGTCCCAAGCTGCCCGCAAAACCTTGAAGGCCTCCTCAGCCCGGGGATGATGATTTTTATCAGGATGAACCTACCAAAACAAAGAAAGAATTCATCACAAATCCATTCCAAACCTCTCCCCATCTTGGGTCAAAACCTTATGTTAAGTGATAACCCTGGCCAGTGTGGTTGGGTATCATCCCATGCACCAAAAGGTTGCTGATTCAATTCCTGGTCAAGGGCACATGCCAGGGTTGTGGGCTCAATACCCAGTAGGCAGGAGGCAGCTGATCAATGTTAGCTGTCACATTGATGTTTCTTGCTCTCTTTCTCCCTCCCTCTCTAAAAAAAGTCAATAAACTATTAAAACACACACACACACACACAAATCATGTCAAATGGCTCTTCTTCACTCCCTTTTGGAGAGTCAATATAGTTTTAAAAAAAAAAGTTAAATTCTTTATTGTTTAATATATATGTCTCCTTTCTCCCCCATTGACCTCTCCCCAGCCGCTCCCACCCCCCAGCACATAACCTCACCCTGCTACTGTCTGTGTCCATTGGTTATGTTTATATGCATGCATTTAAGTCCTTTGGTTGATCTCTTACCCGTCCTCCCCTACCTTCCCTCTGAGGTTTGACAGTCTGTTCGATGCTTCTATGACTCTGCATCTATTTTTGTTCATCAGTTTATGTTGTTCATTATATTCCACAAATGAGTGAGATCATGTGATATTTATCTTTCTCCGACTGGCTTATTTCGCTTAGCATAAGCTCTCTAGGTCCATTCATCCTGTTGCAAATGATTAAGAGTTCTTTCTTTTTTACAGCAGTGTGATAATTCCACTGTGTAGATGTACCACAGTTTTTTAGTCCACTCATCTGCTGATGGGCACTTAGGCTGTTTCCAAATCTTAGCTTTTGTAAATTGTGCTGCTATGAACATAGGGGTGCATATATCCTGATTGTTGTTTCTGATTTCTTGGGATATATTCCTAGAAGTGGCATTACTGGATCAAAAGGGAGTTCCATTTTTAATTTTTTGAGGAAAATCCACACTGTTTTCCACAGTGGCTGCACAGTCTGCATTCCCAGCAGCAGTGCGCAAAGGTTCCTTGTTCTCTACATCTTCGCCAGCACTTGTTCGTTGATTTGTTGAGGATAGCTATTCTGACAGGTATGAGATGGTACCTCATTGTCGTTTTGACTTGCATCTCTCAGATGATTAGTGACTTTGAGCATGTTTTCATATGTCTCTTGGCCTTCTGTATGTGCACTTTAGAAAAATGTCTATTTAGGACAAGCATGTCAAACTCAAAGGCTAACACGGGCCAAATAAACAAGGTTTAAGTTTATGTGGGCCGCAAAAAAAATCCAGAAGCTTCAATTTTCATAGAAACATGCTAAATACAAAGGGCTGAAATAAATGAGTAATCGTTAACATAAAAATAGAACATTTTAATAAAAGTTAGTATTTTTTCTTGAACATTAATTTACCAGACACTGAATAACTGCACAAATTAATAAGTGTAATGCAACTAAACCTGTTTTTCTTGTTCTCTGATAGCGAAATATTTCCTGTTGCGCACACCAAACATTTATCTTCAGTTTCCATTGTCCTAGGAATTGTATCGGCAGATATTGCTACAACATATTTCTGATATTTTGCTGCCTATGGATTCTTCTAAGATTTTTATGATTTCCTGTCTTACCTTTAGGTCCTTTGTCCACTTTGAGTTTATTTTTGTGTATGGTGTAAGTTGGTGTCTAGTTTCACTTTTTTGCATTTATCTGTCCAAATTTCCCAGCACCATTTATTAAAGAGAGTGCCTTGAATCCATTGTATGCTCTTGCCTCCTTTGTCAAATATTGAGCATAACGGCTTGGGTCGATTTCTGGGTTCTCTGTTCTGTTCCATTGGTCTATATGTCTGTTCTTGTGCCAGTACCAGGCAGTTATGAGAACAGTGGCTTTGAATTATAGCTTAATATCTGGTATAGTGATCCCTCCAACTTTGTTATTCTTTCTCAGGATTACTGCAGTTTTCGGGGTCTTTTTTTATTCCAGATGAATTTTTGGAGTTTGTTCCAGGTCTGTGAAAAATTGGTATGTTAATGGGGATTGCATTGAATCTATAGATTGCTTTGGGTAGTATGGACATTTTAATGATGTTGATTCTACAAATCCATGAACACAGATATTCTTTCATCTGTTTATGTCTTCCTCTATATCTTTTTTCAAAGTCCTGTAGTTTTCTGAGTAGAGGTCTTTTACCTCTTTAGTTAAGTTTATTCCTAGGTATCTTAATTTTTTTGGTGTGATGGTAAACAAGATTATTTTTTTAGTCTCTCTTTCTTTTTTTGATTGAGTCTTTAGGGTTTTCTGTGTGTAATATTATATCATCTGTGAATAATGACAGTTTTACTTCTTCTTTTCCAATTTGGATGCCTTTTATTTCTTCTTCTTGTCTGATCGCAATGGCTAGCACTTCCAGTACTATGTTGAACAGGAGTGATGAAAGTGGGCATCCCTGTCTTTTTCCTGTTTCTGATAGGCTTTAAGTGGGGGTGATGCTGTATTGCTTTCTGGAACTGATTGGCCCCTCTTCAACCCAGTCCCTGAGGGCCCTTTGGGGCTATTCAGAGCCTTTGTTTCCTTGGGAAAACTCAAGATGTGGGCCAGGTGTGGCATTATTAGCTGTCTTGAGGCTGCTGGCAGGGGCTGGCTCTTCAGGAGAAAAATGGTTTGGAAGGTCACAAATGTCTCAGTGCCAGATTCCTGGTCACCTCTCCTGCTCTGCTTTCCTCCACAGCCTCTCCCCAGGCCCCACAAATCAGCTCTACCTGCACCGCAGCCTCAGATGACTGTAATTGAAAGGTCCTATGAACTGGTTTTATTGAAGACAAACAAAGGCAAAAGATTCAAGAGACTGTGAGTTTCTCTACCCTGCCCCATCCCCGGCACCACGCTGCTTGGGCAGCTCTTCATGCCACCTTTCTGGGTGCAGCCTCTCCCAGCCGTGGACTTAGATCTAGATTCCCCAACCGCCAGCAGCCCTGTGGACTTCTTTCCACAGCGGATGTTACGCCTGTCCCCAAGGGACATGGCCTTGGTGCAGTGCAGCTTCCTCCTGACCCTCAGCCTGGTGGTCGTATGTCTCTCTCTAGCCCAGATCCCTGATCCTACAGTTCTTCAGGCGTCCTCTGCCCCTCTTGGCTGTTGTCTCATCAGCTGTGTCTAATTCACCAATTCTGGCTCTCCCATTTAGTTGCTTCTTACTTTTTTTTTTCTAGAGACGGGGTCTCGCTATGTTGCCCAGGCTGGAGTGCAGTGGCTATTCACAGGCGCGATCCCACTACTGATCAGCAGGGGAGCTTTGACCTGCTCTGTCTCCGACCTGGGACGACGGTTCACCCCTCCTTAGGCAACCTGGTGGCCCCCCCTCGCCCCCCCCCCGGAGGTCACCATATTGATGCCGAACTTAGGGCGGACACCCGATTGGCATAGCACACTACAGCCCAGAACTCCTGGGCTCAAGCGATCTGCGATTCTCGATCCTCAGCCTCCCGAGTAGCTGGGACTACAGGCGCGCGCCACCGCATCCGGCTAGTTGCTTCTTCTATGCCAGTGGTTCTCAACCTTGGCTGCACATTAGAATCACCTGGGAATCTTTTTAAATCCTGATTTCTGGGCCTCATCCTCCGGAAATTCTGTTTCTTAGTTATGGGGTGGGGCCACAAAATTAGTAACAAAGAAACAGAACTTCCGGAAGATGAGGCCCAGAAATCAGGATTTAAAAAGATTCCCAGGTGATTCTAATGTGCAGCCAAGATTGAGAACCACTGTGTGCTCCAGGACAAGCGCAGGACAGTCTGCCTATTTGGCCGCCATTTTCTCCTCTCAATATAGCTTAATAATTAATTGCTCTGGCTCTGCAGAGAGATCTCTGTTCAAGTCACAGCTCTGTCACTATTAGCTACATGACCTAGAATATTTTATCTATCATAGATCGTTGGGAGTATTAAATGAGAATGCATGTGAAGTATATATCACAGAATCTGTACTAGGGTGATCCACCATCCCAGTACACCTGGGATTGCTCCAGTTTTAGCAGTGAAGTTCATGTCTCAGGAAAGCCCTCAATCTCAGGCAAACAGGATGGTTGGTCACCCTACCTGGCACATATATGCTAATTCCTCACATTTAAACTTTATTGTCAGTTATAACATAAGAGTTCCAAAGATGTTACATTCTCACTTTTCTAACTAGAAAATTCTCATATCTACTCAAAACTTCCTACAATAGTTTGCCTTTCTGTCCCAGAAATGAAATAGCATATTATGATACAGGCTTTTTATTCCCTTTTCAACCTTTCTCCAAGACAAACAATAACTTCTCTTCCTACTGCTTATGATTCCCATCTTCATTCCTCCAAAATACAGAGATAAAGCTGGTCTCTTGACTGATGCCAAATAAGCAGAATGCTGTTAAATCTCCCATATTTCCAGGCTTATTGAACAGCCTTGTAATCATGGTCACTTTAGGGCAGCGGTTCTCAACCTGTGGGTCGCGACCCCTTTGGCGGTCGAATGACCCTTTCACAGGGGTCACCTAAGACCATCCTGCATATCAGATATTTACATTACGATTCATAACAGCAACATCACAGTTATGAAGTAGCAACGAAATAATTTTATGGTTGGGTCACAACATGAGGAACTGTATTTAAAGGGCCAGAAGGTTGAGAACCACTGCTCTAGGGCCTAATAAGGGCAGTGAGAGATTCTATAAAAGAACCTCACTGACACACTGATGGAGAACAAGGGGGATTTCTGGGGTGTGAGGCAGGGTATTAAGGACTGGGTAACTTAACATCATCTCTACTCCAAAGAAGTAAGTTGAAAATGATATTTTTGGGGGAGACTGATATTCCACAAACGAGGATATCTGCTAAAAAAGACATGAAGATGAGAAAAGAGCTCTACTATTAGTAACTATTTGAGCGTAAGCACTTGTTCCCCACTCTGAGAATATCCCAGGCTATCAACTAAGGGGCATGCATTTCCCACCAAATTAATTTAGTCCTCTTGTAAGTTGCAGGACTGGTACTTTATTGTGCCCTGAATGGTTAATGGAAACCATGGTTGCCCATTCCTTTGGTGTCATGCAACTGTTGAAGTAATCTGCACACTGTGATATTGTACCAATCTAGTTCCATACATTCAGTCAAACAGGCCACCTGTGCAATTTACACACATTATTTATATTCATAATATAGTGTCACTTGTACAGAAATAGAATCATCTAAAAATAGAAATCTAATATTAACTTCTAATAGCAATTTGATTGCATACTTGTATTAAATCATTTCCCTCAAGCATGTGGTGTATCACAACTCCCACTCACTTTTTATTAATAAAAGCAACCATATTTTCTTTTCCTTTTTTTATTTATTTTTTAAATATATTTTATTGATTTTTTTACAGAGAGGAAGGAAGAAGGATAGAGAGAAACATCGATAAGCTGCCTCCTGCACACCCCCTACTGGGGATGTGCCCACAACCAAGGTACATGCCCTTGACTGGAATCAAACCTGGGACCCTTCAGTCCACAGGCCAACGCTCTATCCACTAAGCCAAACCAGCTAGGGCCATATTTTCATATATGACATACATTTGCACATATTTCTGATTTTTATTCCATTTTCCTTCTCTTTCCCACTCTGGGTTGCTGGTCTTTTTTTAAAAGATATTTTTATTGATTTCAGGAAGAAAGGGAGGGGAAGAGATAGAAACATTGATGATGAGAGAGAATCATGGATCAGCTGCCTCCTGCATGCCCCACACTGGGGATCAAGCCCGCAACCGGGGCATGTGCCCTGACCGGGAATTGAACCATGACCTCCTGGTTCATAGTCGACGCTCAACCAATGAGCCACGCCGGTCAGGCTGGGTTGCTGGCTGGTCTTGAAATAGCTTTTCTTTCACCTGGTCCTGGAATAATCACTCACAAGCACTCCCCGAACTGTCCCATACTAGGTCCACACTTGCCATTCTGGGACAGATGGCTGAATTTCCCTATATTCAGAAACACCCCTCATTTGTTCAGGGAGAGGAACTGACAAGTTTTCTGAATAGACCTCTTCTCCACGCTAGCAGAGGGACTTCAACTCAACATTTCAAAGTGAGTGAGTCCAACATTGCCTGATATACCAATTCATTTCTTTTCATTACGAAAAAGAATCTCACCCAGCTGGTGTGGCTCAGGGGTTGATCATCGACCTATGAACCAGGAGATCACAGTATGATTCCAGACAGGGCACATGCCTGGGTTGTGGGCTCGACCCCCAGTTGGGGGCATGCAGGAGGCAGCCGATTGATGATTCTCTCTCATCACTGAGGTTTCTATAGCTCTCACCCTCTATCTGAAATCAATAAAAACATATTTAAAAATAAAAAAGTTTTTATGACTCTTTTCTAAGAATTAAAGTTACTCTTCAGCTTAAAGTTGATTTTCTTCTCTGCCTTCCCTTTATTCTACTCTCCCTAAAATTAGGAGATAAAATATAGGCACAAGAGGGATAGGAAACGGGGGGGAGGGGAAGGATACTCACCATTACTGCCAACTGCCTATAGGCCTTCTTCATTTCAACATCTGATGCTGTGGCTTCAACCCCCAAGACGTGGAAAGGGTTTAGCTCATCTTCAGGAACCCCAGCCATGGTCAAGAGTCGAGTCACTTCCTCTTCAGGCTGGTAATAGCGACCACTAGCTACAGGTGCATTCTCTTGTCTGTTAGTCCTCTGTTTGACCCAAGGCAACTCCAGCCAACCCCACTGAATCATTCTCACCATCTGCTGCCATGGCCTGCTCTCTCTCAGCACAATCAGACAACGCTGCAAGGTGGGAGAATCCAGCCAAGAGAAGAGCCAGGTGGCTTTAGCCCTCCAGCCTAACCGGTCACCCAGTCTCACAAGAAACTGCCAGGCCACCTGCAGACAGCCCAACAAGAGGGCCAGAGCCAGAAGCAGCAAAGCACCCAGTAGCCTAAGAAAACGGGTGAATAGCCCTGCCCCATAGCAAAACCCCTGGTTCAGAAACTGGAACATTACCTGGGCCCACCCACCCAGTCGCCCTGCCCAGACTCCTGCCCAGACTCGAAAAAGGTCCAAATCACTGCCTTTCAGCTGCCTGCATGCATAGATGAGACGGCCACAAGTTTCCACATACTCTCCCACCAATACCAGCAGTTCGATCAGCCACCAGAAACCTGCTTGTCCAAGCTGACACAGTTCTTCTGCTCCCCATAATCCCAAGCCTCTGCGCTTATCTGCTTGACTTCGTTTCCGGCCCAGCCGATGTCGACCAGGGGACCTGGGATCCCTGCGTCCACCCTCCCAAGGATCGTCCTTGGCTGCAACACGGTGCCGCTGTCTCCGGGGTGGAGGTTTCTTTCCACTGGGCACACGAGAAAAATCACTGGGGAACTTGGGTTCCCCATCATCATATTCCTCTTCCAACTCTTCATGTTCTCCTAAAGCTGGAGACATACAATGGTGGCAAAAGTTGCTAGAAGAGTTATCTCCCCCCACAGAGTGAGGCTCCTCAGGGATGCCAGGGGTGCCCTGACAGCTGCAAGCAGATGGAATGGAAAGAAAAGAAGGGCTTTCATCCTCCTGGTGCACAGCCTCATCCTCTCTTGAGAGTTCCTGATCCACTCCTGACTCTTCTTCTGAAGATGCCTCACTCTGATCAGGGTCCTCTCCATTTCTAGGGGGTCCTGGACCCCTTGGGGGGCCGTAGCTTGGATCCGACCAGTGGGCTGGGTTTGGGGGCTGTGTGTACTTAGGACTAGAGTGCTTTGTGAGGCAGCGGGTACCATTTGGAGCAGGCCTCGCTGAGTCCCTGAGTCCTGAGAATGAAAGTATTTCAGGGTCCAGAGAGGGTCCTAAAGTCCCGAGCGAGGCACCACCACCGTGGTGGGCTCCACACGACTGTCTTTCTCCGGGGTGCTTCTGGGCCATGACCCCCTGGCTTCCTGAAGATTTTAGGTCACAGCCATCATGGTAAGTTCTAATGCCTGTAACAAAGTATCAAGTTGGGTCAAGGATAGGTCCAAAAAAGGGTTTAAATTGAGAATATACATAGTATATAGACTGCATCCACCTCCCTTGCTTCCCAAGTTCTTTGGGGGCATTTATTACCTCTAGCAATAAGCCAATACTACTTTAACCACAACACCACTCCCTGCCCCCTCCTCCAACTCCACCGAAGTTTTTCTTCTCTCCCCCGAAAGATACAGCTCTGAATCCGGAAAAGAGGGAGGTACTGCAAAGGGTGTGGTCCTGGGATCACTCTAGGGAAAAACGGAAAGACGATCGGAAGGGAGGGCTGTAGGCTGCCTGAAAAGGGTGGGGACCCTGCGGCCCTTAAAGAAAACCTGGAGGCGGAGCTTGTGGTTGCCTCTAAGACAGACAACCAGGGAACCCTGAGCCTGGGCAGACGGGGAGAAGGTAACGTACCGAAGAGCGGCGGTAACTCCTCCCCCTCGAGCTGCTGGGCCCAGAGCCAGGGGAGCTAAGAGAGCGGCTCCCCCGGCTCCGCCTCCCGCTCAAGTTCTGCTTCCGCCTTCTGTCCCCGCCGCAAACGCCGACCTACGCCTATTTTCACTTCCGGGGTCACCACGGAAGCAACAAGAAGGAAAAGAAAAAGCGGTTGGCTGAAGCGCGAGCTAGTCTAGCGAGCCGTGTGTCAAATCAGGAGGCGGTCCTGGGCGAGCGCGGGTGCCGCCCCTTAAAGGGCCTTCTGCTGCGGCCCTCCGCGTGCTGAAGTAGAATCCCTGCAAGTTGCACCCCTGGAAGCGAAGCAAGTGGGTGCTGCAGCAGCGCCTGCGGTCTGGGGACAGATTCTTAGGGTCCCTCTGGCTGGATTTGTGGGCTTTTCTGAGACTGGGAGATAGAGGACAGCCTCTGAGCCATAGTTTGTTTCCCTTGCAGACAAAACTAGGGAGCATAGAGGGGCCACCGCCCTGACCCCTTCCTTGCTGGCTGAGGACAGAGGCTCCTTTGTATCATGTTCTCTCCAAGAGAAGGCACCCCGGGCCAGCCCCCGCCCTGATCCCCCTAGCACTGCCCCTTCTTTCCCAGCAACCCTCGGCCTCCCCGGCTTCTGACCCAGCTGGCGAACCGCCCCGTATAACTGCAGCTACCACGGCCCGGACCCGCCCCTCTGGACGCAGCTCCAGGCCCCCTCACGGAGCTGGGTCCGAGACCACGCGCGTAGCAGGACCTGAGCGGAGAGCCAAAACCCGTGCACTCCGCCGCGGGCTGCTTTGCATCTCATTTGCATACCGAGCCGTTCGGACGCAGACAGCGACCCCTCCCCCACGCTGACCCGGCTGGGGGGGCCCCTCTCTGTCGGTCCCTTCCTTTGTACACGCCTCTCTCGTTAGCCCTCCTTTCAGACTTCGCCTTACTCCGCAAGCTCGGCCACCCATGCACCCCTCGCCGGCGGCCCCAGAGCAGCGAGAGCCTCGGCCCCAAATCCCCAGTCCCGACCACCCGGCCCTCCAGAAGACAATACTCCAATTCTCTGGGAAGTGGGAGAAACCAAGGCAAAGCGAGGGGGGCGCCGAGACCCCACCTGGGGCTCTGAAAGCTTCCCGTTGTCGAGTCATCGCCCAAGTATTCAGAGACTTTTCCGCAAACCTCTTGTGCACCCAGGACCCTTCCCTGCTATGGTGGGTGGGGGGGTCTCCGCTCCCAGCCTCAAGCAGCAGGCAAACTGTGTTCCCCCCACACACAAGGGGAAGAGTTGGAGGGGCCCGCCCCGTGATGTCACCCCCCGCCCTGTCCCCTTCCTCCACCCCCACCCCCCC